CTGATTAAAATAAATTCCCTAAAATTAGGCTTGAATTTGGAATTAAGATTTGTGATACACGATAGAAGGTTTGTTTTGGGGGATGCTAAATTTTTTTAGATAAGCTTCTTTATTTGTTAAACACTAAAATATTAATTCCATAATTTTATGATTTTATCAAAGCCCATGACGGCTAGGGTTTTCATACTTTTGTAAGAAAAACTTTCGCGTTTTGAATTTACGTAAGAATCTGATTAATCTCCAACTTAACATTTTCTTAACCAATTACATAAAGGATAGAAAAAAAGTTATTTTACTATTCGAAAGCGGAAAGAATGTAAAGTTTATATAATTACCGACTTTACATTTTTATCACTACGGAGAAATAGAAAGCCCAAAACGCGTAAGGGCAAATTCGTAACTACAACCCTAGAGTTCCCAGCTATAAATACCTTGAGTTTCCAATTGTAGGGTACGTTCTCTTTAGTCTCTCTCTCGCTCAGGATCGTAGCCGCAAGACTCCTCACAGATTCTACTTGCAGGTTAGAAAATTCTCTTCTCTTTAGGGTTCCTAATCTTCATCTTCTTTACGTTATTCTTGCTGTGTTGTTTCTGTCTCCGTTGCTTAGATTATGATCTTAAGCTTTGTTTTGACTGTGATTATCGCTTACTCGATTCGTTTATACTTTTTTGATTCTCGAGTTTAAGATCTGATTAATCATCGATCTATCTGCTTGCATAAGTCTGATGGCAGGATCCTCTTGTTTACATATAGCGTTTACTTGTTCACATCGTCTGCTAGGGTTTTTGAGAATCGGATATGCTTGTATYGTCGCATGTTGTGATTGATTATGGTTGCAGATTCGTGATGCGTTTGGTTGATGATGATTGCTATATTCGGTAGATTTGTTGTCTTGTGGTTAGATCTTTACTTCGCAACACGAATGATCTGCTCAATTGTTTGTTTAATTGTGCGATTCTCAAAAGAAATTAGGGTTTTTGAGGACGATTTGTTATCTTCGCTGTGTGTTTGATCGGATTCTTGTATTGCCTTC